CACACACACACACACACACACACACACACACACACACACACACACACACACACAAGAATAAACGCATAGAAGAACATAGAAGTACAATGAAAACAAAGTAGTCATGAAATGTCATACAAAAATCATGCCGAAGTCGCATATACGAGTCCAATATGAAATACATGTCGCATGATACAATGTGTCGTCGGCGACTCGTCGACACTCGTGCCGAGTCGTACGGGGTCGTATAGCGATGGGATACAGCCTACACCGCTAACTAACAACTCTGAAAATAAAACCCTAACAAACATCTACGTAATACGGCGAGTCGGAATGAAGTCCCACCTCTAACAAAAACCCAATAACTAAAAAACAATATGAAAACGCCGTACATAAGCCAGAAAAGTACAAAAACAAACACTCTCGACGACACTACCTGCATATTGAAGTCCATGAACTAGTCCTAAGTGCCTAAAACCTAACTATATGTACATCATCATAAACAATGTACAAAAAGGTCAGAACACTGATCACAAACAACATAAAGGCGACATGGAAGGGGAAGGAAACTCTCAATACCCTCGACCTCCCTTCCCCTTACCACTGCCTCTCTGCCTCTCCCCGCCCTTGTTGCGTGTCGATGAAACACTCCCTCGCTCCGGCGTGGTCGCAACGGATCACCCTCGCCTCCTCCGACTCCTCGTCTCCTGCCGCCCTGGAGGGGACGGGTCGTCGACGTCATTGCGTCGTCTACTAGAGCGACGTCGTCTACGAGAACCACGTTGCGGTGGAGGGGAGGGTTCGTCGTCGTCGTCGTCATCCTCCCTGGTGTCACTCTCCTCCTCCTCACTCTCCTCGTCGTCCCTGTACTCGTCATCCTGTGGGGCCTGCTCACGTGCCGGCTCCGTCTTGGGATCGTCCTCCACCACGGTTACAGGGTCAGCCCCCGTCCTCATCTGAACAACCCTAGCACTCACCTGAGTCACCTCTGCGACTGCCTTCTCACGACATGAACCGCGTGGCATGCCCAACCCCTCGGCTCCAGAAAACTCCCCCAATGCGGCACCCCCCGCCGCAAGCATGGGACGCGGACGAGCTGCTCCACTCTTGCGTGGGGTCTGTTCACGCACAGCACGTGTTGCTGCTGCCAAAGCGGTCTGCAAGGTAGATACGACCTCTCCACCCCATGAACATGTCGTGGTTGAGATATTGCCGCCATGACCTCCCTCGGCGCACCCCTCCCGGTGTCAGCCCCACCCAAACCTGGCTGGCGTCGTGCAGTGTGCACTGTGACCCGACGCGCGGTCGATATCCTTCCTCCCGAATAGCGACGTGTCAAGAGGGAGGCTCCCTACGGTCGTCGTGTCACGAACCCTGGGTCTGGCGGGCGTGGATGGTGAGCGGGGGGGGGGACGAACTGGTGTCGAGGGGGGATCGCTGTGACGTGATCTCGGAGGAGGAGGCGGCATGAGTGGTCTTTTAAGGTCGGTGTCCTCCTGCCGTGTGACGTCACACACAGCAGCCCGTGCGAGCTCCGCCAAATCCAATGGGCGAGCTGTATCCTGAGGAGCTCGCCGCCCACTAACCGGTGTCTGAAGCGCTGGCTTAGATCCTAAATCCAAGACTCTGACCGGTGGTACCTCAATAGATGCCACCACCCCAGGACCAAACCCCTGGACACATGGTCGAACTGGCCACGACGTTGTCATCAGCTGCAGGCCTGTGAACCGCACCAAGGAACGGGGAGCTCTAGTGATATCTGTTGCGGGTGCATCCCCACGCTCCTCCCGAGGCTGCTCTCGTACCTCCTCGCACCACTGCTCAAGCGTGTCTCTCTCTCTCCTAAACCGTCCTGCAAATGCATGCCCGATCTCCTCTGCGAAGAAACCCGCGGCCGCCACGGCACACACCGTATCCTCTCTCTCCGCGTCACGAGGGTTGGGAGGACCCCCCAAAGACATATCCATGAAATCCCCCATCCCCAGCCTAGACGCCTCCCTATCTCCTAATGTTGACACCCCCAATGCCCTCCTCGTGCCCGGGGTCAAACCCGCTAGTGCGGGACCCATCTCGTCATCGATGAAACGCTGGACGATCAGGTCAAGGTGGTCCTCTCCCTCTCCTCTTCCATGGGCGAAGTCCCCCCCTGCCATGCCCTCATCTGCCCCAACCAACGCGGCAGCATCTGCCCTCACCACGTCCTCCTCCATCTCAACCTGCGCATCACCATCGTGTACCCCTGCCACGGCCTCCACTCTCTCAACCTGCTCACCATCATGGACCCTCGCCATGACCTCCTCTCTCTCGACCTGGGCACCATCATCTACGTCCGCCTACGCTCTGTCGCCCCCCCCTGGTCTCTCCTCCGGCGTGGACGACAACCTCATCTCCACTGCTCCAGCTGCCTCCTCCGCCATACCCCGAATACCCTCAACTCCGCCCGCTCCGGCGGCTCCGTGCTCCTCCGCTCGTCGCACCCTCTCCTCCATCAGTGGCGCCCCGCTATGTACACCCACCTCCTCCAAGTCCCCCCCTTGCTCATCTACGCCAACCTGCGCTCTATCGTCCCCCCCTGGTCTCTCCTCCAACGTGGACGACAACCTCATCTCCAGTGCTCCACCTGCCTCCTCCGCCATACCCCGAATACCCTCAACTCCGCCCGCTCCGACGACTCCGTGCTCCTCCGCTCGTCTTTCCCTCTCCTCCATCATTGGTGCCCCGCTATGAACACCCACCCTCTCCAAGTCCCCCGATGCAATGATCTGTGCCCGCGCATGACCAATGAGGAACCCAAGTCCTCCCTCCCAACTGGTGCAGGTGAGCGCTCGTCATGTGGAATGGGAGGGGTCGGAGCGGGTGGCGGGACAGAATGACGAGGATGACGCAACGATACTGAGGGTCCAGACTGCGTCGCGGGAGTGCTCGTCTGGTCCCGCGTGGTCATGGGAGCAGGAGTCTGCTCCTGCGCGGTCGAGGGAACAATCGTCTGCTCGCACGATGTCGTGGCAAGACGAGGCTCCTCACTCGGAGTCATGGGAGCAGGCCTCTCCTCCCGTAAGGTCATGGGAGGACGCGTATGCTCCCACGTGGTAGTGCGTGATCTCTCCTCTGTACCCGTGAAATATCCCCACAGATCCTCCTCGGCCCCCATCATATCTATGTCTCCTTGGTTTGCCGCCCCCCGCGTGGTGCGCGTCCTCTCGTCACCCGCGTCGCCCTCCTCGTGCAACTCGTCAATCTCCCACGGGATGGGAAGCGCGGGGTCGTCCGCGGCTTCCGGCTCCCTCTCGTCCCCGGACTTGTCCTCCCTAGGGTACAGATGGAAGATGGCGGCACGAGCACCGAAAACAGACTCAACCGAGGGCGGCGCAAAGGACCCGATGGGATTGCGCGAAATGAGGGCAGCCTGACTCGATCTCCTCCTCCGTCATCCCACTCAGAGAGCGTAAACGGGTAACCGTTGCCCGTACCCAGCCGTACCCAACTGTAACTGCCAGGTTACGGGCGGGTATGGGTACCCCTTTCGAGGTGGCAGTTGGGTATGGGCCGGCACAAACAAAAGGTGGTGGTTGTTAGGGCGGTCACAGTTGCCCTTT